AGCCAAAATGCAATAGTATGGCACCAAATTTGGTGTGTGCATGCGCATTGGTGGACCGGAACTATAGCCCAAAAATTTATGAAAACTTATGTGAATGAAAGCTGCGCCGAACTTTTTTCTGAATTAGCTGGCACCGTGCCAGCTGGGTGCCAGCCGAGCTAGCACCGACACTTTGCTCACATAAGTTTTTATACTTTTCTACATAAAATGTTGTTTATACTGTACTATTGTAAAAGTTTACATACAGAGAAGAAATATTTTCAAAATGTTTTCTTTTCAGCGTTTTATAGCAATTTCAAAATTACTCAGTCTGCTCTGCAATCGAAAAATCGGCCTCTTCTGCTTCTCAAGATGTAATTCAACCACATAAAAAGCTCAAAAATTTGTGAAAAGTGGTTCCATGAAATCAGCATGCATGAAAACCCTACTACATACTTTTACAGAATCCAAAATAATGACTTGTCTTCAGAACTGGTCTAAGGCGACTTCGTACAAAATTTACAAGATCGAACGGGACTTTGTTTCGAAATTTCCCTGGTGCCACTCGTGCCGAGCCCTGTTCCGTAGGCATGGCCTAAAGGCTCTACCGTGCATAATTAGGCACATATTCGCAATTATCATGTCAAATAACTACCACGGGCCATGTATTAGCAAATTCCGAGTGTTCCCAATATTGGACCACCAAAGTGAAGTGATCATTTTCAAACATGATAAACTAAAGTGAATTAGCTAGCTCTTTTTGTACTCAATGCAAAGCACTACTTCCTATTTACCGAAACCATGAAACCTGCTTCAAATAACCATTAAACTATGAAATTAAAAGCAGGCCAAAATCTCGTTTGTCCCATTTTTCGCTTCCAAGCTGCGCTTTCACCAGCTTTTACTTAGAACGAAGAAGATGAATTACCGAAATTGCCCAAATTACTTCTATGAAAATTGCAAGACTCAGGCTACCAAATTATATGTATTTCGTTCGCTAAAATTCCTTCCGCGCAAGTTAAGGGGTGTGCCACACCCCATTAACTTACCTTCAAAGCATTCAAATCTCTATCTTTTTTATATGGTTGCTACTGCTAAACCTTCTTCTCCACACAACAGGAATTTCATTCAAAATTGTTCCTCCTAGGGGAAGATATAGTCGTTTTTTCTTAGCTAAGCAAATGAAAAACGTCGCGAAAATATTGGATTACGGTGATGTGCTAAGTCTGCGCTACTACGGGAATTGCGAGGGAAGGCGGCAAGAACAAGTATATTTGGTAGCCTGATCCTCGTAATTTTCACGAAAGTGATTTGAGCCTGTTTGGTCTTCTCTAGCCTGAGAAAATGAAAGCGAGACATAGGACAAACAAGATTACTTGCTCTTAATTCCAGAGTTCGAAGGTGAGTTGAAGTGGGATTCCTAATATGAGCAATGAAGTAGTAGTACTTTGTAATGAGTGCAAAAGAAGTAATTCACTCACCTTTCAAACAAAGTTAGCATGTTCGAAAATGACCACCTCACTTGAGTGCCCCAATATTTGGAAACCTCAAAATTCGGTGAAACTTGGCCCGCAAGGGTTATTTGATATGCTAATTACGAAAATGATGCTATTGCTCACTGTGCGTGTGCGACGGTAGGCCAAATATCAGTGCTGGTGCTCGACCATCCCCCCTCTTCCTGACTCCTTTACGACCTTCAGGTGTGGCGTGCCACACTCCACGCTTATACCAAAAAAACTTAACAAAAAGATCAAGATTGAAATTTCTATAAGAAGTGTTCAACGGTTCTTGATTTACGAATATAGTTCTCAAGAGGATATTGGACAAGCATACGGTTAGCCCACTGGCTAATATGTTTTGTGAAGTACCAACAGCTGGTTCTCAGAAGTAAAGTTGATTCGTTGCCTACACGGACTGGGCTTCACTGCGGAGCACGCGCCGCGAGGTAAAACCAGAGCCCGGCTCGAGTCGGTTTCTAGGGTTTCGGAAAACGAAGTCCCCTAGACTTCCGGAGGTTTTACGAAGTCCTCTTTGACCTACCTACTTAAGGAAAGATGGAAGCAAGAGAGATTTACTAGTGCGAAAGGAAAAACGTGAGAAAGAATGGAAATCCCAATTAAAGCTGAACTCTACGTATGCACAAAAGTTTGGCATAGGAGTGCGATATTTAACAAAACGATTTTTGAAGAAATTTAGGCAAAAACAAAGGAAAGGCAATGATATGAAAATCTCTCAATGCTCAGGGATAGATTTTTGACCGGGGAGACATGATAGAAAAATCCAAAACTTAAGTGAAGTGACAGAAATATATGCTCCAGACGATCTCAGATCGTCTGGTGGCCGTCCGGACACGATCTAACTTCAGAAAAGGTATAACTTCACATAAGTTTTCAAATGTTTTAATATAATCCTTTCGCAAATAATTTTCTATGCATATAGTCCAATTTTGGTGTCATATGACTCTGTGTACGCTGTAAACAAGCAATTTTTTCATTTTAGCCTTGCTTTCAAATCGCGCGCACTTTTCGCCATACACGACAGAGCAGGTCAAACGTGTGATAGCGTGTCCAAGCGCTTGTGTTCGAACAAATGGCGTTTATTTTGGTGCTCGGATCCGACTCGTCAAAAACGATATCTCCTTTGCTTTTGCTTCAAAAACGAAGTCCAGCTTGCTTCCAGACGATCTGTGCCGGGCCCTGGGTAATACGCTTGCCCAGTACAATTCCGCCATTGTACAAGTCGTGCTCTCACGATAATTTAGCCGCGCCACGCGTTGTCCGCGGCATTTGAGCAGTCCGTGCGATTAACGAATCTACGATAGCAATATTTCGCCTCAGAAATATATTTCTACTGCATGTTTCACAAATTCCTAAAGTGAACGCGGGTCTAATGTCCTGTAGCAAAGGCGTGAAAAGTCGCCATACAAAAGGGAATCGGTTGTCTATGCTGCACAATGAGTTTACGAAATATCCAGAAGATATATCAAGTGTTCACTAGTAATTTTCTGGCGCCATTGGTTTCCATGAACTTTGGGGTTCTGAGCATACATCGCGCAGTTTCATTCGCGACGCGTTGGCAAAATGCCAGTGTTTTACGACATTGTAAAGATAATCCGTCGCTTCTAAACTTGCGTGACGTATGGCTGAGGCCTTGGTTAGCATGCTGTAGGAGTGGTTTCATGTGAAATTTAGTACAATGCTTTTCTCTTTATTACCGTGGAATTACGGTAATAAAAGAAGAGATTTTGAACCAATGAGAGCCAGAACTTGTCCCAAACAAGCGTCCGGAAGAGCTTCAAGTTTTGTTACGAGTTTCATGTACTGCTGATTCTAACTATGAGCTTTTCGCTTTACAGTAATCTATCAATGTTATCTACCATAATCTACTACAGGTCAATAAATGTAAAAAATTTGGTATCAATCTACTGATCTGTTCTACAAATATGTACGAAGCTATTTATCATATTCGGCAGGTCTAAATACATTTTAAGATGTTCTTTGCAGCTTATCTGCAACGACGACATTTGCTGGAAGTTCTGCCGTAATCTTACAGCGATGAAGAATGAAGGATATAGTATGCATATCGGCTCATGATTATACGAACATCCTATATTTTGCCGTTTTACGGACTCTTGAAGGAAATGCAGGAAACTGGAACCACGTGGAAGAGCGTACATAAACAGTATATGCTGCACAAAAATGAACTTCGATGTCAATTTTGGAGAAGCCTTGTGCCGAACCCTTTTTTTTGGCCGGTTCAAAATCATACGAACAATCTCGCTCTTTTTTCGCTTGTCACTGCGACCATTGGCGTTCATACTTTCTTGTAAGGCTACGATTTCAAGGTCTGAGGTGCCACTAAGCGCTAGACCTAATGAATCATGGGAAGGAAAATTTTATAATTTTATTTTTATAATTTTATTTTTTTAATAATTTCATAATTTTTTTTTAATTTTTACAGCTCGAAATGGCTCTGGACTAAATCGGCTCCAAAAATGCCCCTTCGTGAGATTTCAAACTTTTAACCCTCAAACGGATAAAAAAGAGTCAATAAATGTGCTGCTCAGCGCCCAGAAGATGTTGGTGTAGTCGTCCACTTGCCTGACTTGCCAGCCAACCTAGTCCTAAACTCACCATAAGGTTGGCACAATTTGGAGCCTCACCCTTCTGCCGTTCGCAAAGTTCTGTGATGTTGTAATCACGTCGCGAGCTTGATTCTGTGTATTATGTGAAAGATTTCGCATTTTATCTGAAAATTTGAAACGTAGAGCGCTTTTTCGCCACACACTCGGCATTCGATGGAAACGAATAAGCATGTCAACTCAAGAGTGCCTTCTCTCGCTTTCAGCTGCACAGCTTTGAGGTTTCCTTTGCGGAGATTTCGAAACTCTAGCACAAGTATATCAACTTACAAACGATGCATTTGTCTCATCACAGAATTTTGCGGACGGCACTGGGCAGCACATTTATTGACTCTGGTTAAAGGTTTGAAATCTCACGAAGCAGGCATTTTCGGAGCCGAATTGGTCCGGAGCTCGAACTATAAAAATAAAGTTCTCCTTCATAATCATTAGGTTTAGCGCTTAGTAGACACCTCAGACGTCGAGATCGTAGCTATACAAGAAAGTTTGTACGCCAATGGCTGCAGCGTTAAGCGAAAAAATGATTGATTGAGGTATTCGTATTATTATGGACCGTTCCAAAAAAGCGTTTGGCGCATAATGCTTCTCCAAGATTGACATCGAATTTCATTTTTGTGCAGATACTGTTTTCGGTTACGCCGCTCTTTCACGTGATTCCACTGGTTTCCCGCATTTCCTTCAGAAAGTGCGTAAGCCGTCAAAAGATGTGGTGTTCGTATAGTTATGAATCGTTATACTGAGTTAAAATCAGCCCTATAATATGCTCCCCGAAGTCTGCAAAAGCTGTTCATTCAAGAGAATTATTAGCAATCAAACTTCGACAATTCTGTGTTTTGCTTGAGAGACTTTGGGCTTCTCAGTAAGCAAAAATCAAACTTACATTAGTAAGGCGAGCTTGGCAATACCAAGACGCTTTGATGACGTTGATCGTGATTTTGCTAGGGTCTTTTCCATCATAATTATTCAGTCTCATCAAGTCCATAACAGCGGGTGTCGTGGGGCTTGAAAAGCCGTATGCCATCTCGATCTAGAAACATCAATCAAACAATTTTTCAGACGCTCACTGAGGTATCTTTAGATCTGAGGGCTATGCACAGAAAACGATAGATGTTCGACTCATGCACCTCCAACAGTCATTTCGGCTCGAATGTTCAAATGTGATTGTGTTGTATTATCATTATCAATAATGCGCGTAACCAATTAAGTGTCAAAGGATAAAGTATCGGACTTTTATGCCATAAAATGGCATGAACTTGATAAAATTTACTGCTAACATGATTGGGCTCAAGTGGGACCTGTGCTAGGCAATCTTCAAAAACAATCCCTTGATAAAATGCATTGATGTGTTTTTATTTCTCTACAATGAAAATGAACATTCTCCTTTATTTGTTGTACCAGTGCGTCACCTCTGCTTCGCAGAGGCTCGCACTGGTCCTACTATCTGTATGCGTTGCTCATTCTCGTAATAATGACATTGGAACTTACCGCACTATGCAGACTAACACGACTGATTTGTAAATTACTACTTATTCCTAAGGCTTTTTCATGTGAGATCGGTAATTTCGCTTGGATGAAACTTTTCTCAAAAGAACAAATGCAGATTTGAATCGGTTTTTGGACTTTTCGTGGCTTGCTTTTCGCTATAAGATACGATAATCACCCGTGGGCTACATCTCTGTGCAAAAATCCTCTCAGATGATCGGGTAGAATCTTGGCAAATTGAACATTTACGCAACAAATGTTTTTTGGCGCCGTTTTCGTAAAGTAATAAGTTTTAGTTCAATTTTTTGGGCTAAAGCCCATGGCTTGCAGGTTAACTTGTCAAACATATCCGTGACTTTGCAAAAGGTTGTGCTAAAGGCTCAATTTTACCGGCCAAAAGCCAAGTGGATCCGATTGACGCACGTTTTTTGAGGGATCCACACAACGGATCCACTTGTGCTTTTGTATAGTGGACTCTCACGTTGGTAGCATGCGCTGTGCAAAATTTGGGCTCAGGAGGTTGGCACGTTCTACGAATTTCGTGACAGACAGACAGACAGACTTACACACACACACACACACACACACACACACACACACACACACACACACACACACACACACACACACACACACACACACACACACACACACACACACACACACACACACACACACACACACACACACACACACACACACACACACACACACACACACACACACACACACACACACACACACACACACACACACACACACACACACACACACACACACACACACACACACACACACACACACACACACACACACACACACACACACACACACACACACACACACACACACACACACACACACACACACACACACACACACACACACACACACACACACACACACACACACACACACACACACACACACACACACACACACACACACACACACACACACACACACACACACACACACACACACACACACACACACACACACACACATCCACACAAAAACACGTAAACATCCTTAGCCCGTTATTATAAGTTATGATAGGTACATGCCCGGCTTCGCTTGGACTGTGTCAAGCGGCTCAATCTCCAAGGCTCAAGTTCTTCCCTCTTTTCTGTAGCACAGGGCAGATACCTCCTGGACTCCATCGCCTCAAATTACCACCCTCCCACATCATAAAATGAGGTTTACCTTTATTGTTTTACAAAAAATTTGGAAGCGATTTGATATGGGTGAATATAAGTTCATTTTTCTTCGAAATCGATAAATCAATAGGACAAGTGAAAATTTCGCTGCGAAAGGTAGCTTACGGGTGGACCAATGTCGAAATCATATTTTTTCAAATCCTCTGTCGTCTGGACCAGTCGCTTTGCCATTCTTTGTTTTCCCACGGCTATCCATACCACCTCTTCCGTGACTGCTGATACTAGTCCTTCTATGGGCCTGGCGTCTGGGATGGAGTTGATGGTGAGGACTGTGATGGCCATTTCTTCGAAGTAGGTTCTTCTCCATCTTTCAGTGATGTCCTCTAGTTTTCTTAGCGTCCTACAAAGTTTGTCTTTGATGTGGAGGAAGTGTTCCATATCGTTTGTGGATTCCGCTATTCTTGCTATTCGGTATATCTCACATTCTCCCTCGCGAGACTTTGATAATCGTAGAGCTTTTATAAGTATACCTGTCTTGCCTTCTTTACGGAAGTCTTCGCAGCGTGCTCGACTTGTTGGTATGCGTGGCGATCGTCCTTCGATTTCGTCTTATGCCATCGCTTGTACGCATCCCTCTTCTTCTTTATGACTTTTTGCACTTCGTCATTCCACCACCACGTTTTCCGATTAACCCTTCTTTTTCCTTGTACTTCCCAGGATCATGTGTGCCACTTCGTGGACTCGATCTTTCAAGCTCGCCTTGGATAGCTCTGGGTTCTCTTGCAAGCTTGGTAGAGTTGTTATCACTGCTTGCTTCGCTGCGCTGTTGGTCTTCAATTTCCACCATTTGATGCGTTTCCTGCTCCCTATGGCTCTCCTGAGGTGCCTATCTATCGGGATTCTTTTATGTGTAGTAGTGGTCTATGTTGAGGTATGCAGTGCTCACGGGGGATGACTTTGCAGTCCTTCACATTTTTGAGGTCACGCTGTCGGATAGCCAGGAGTCTAGTCTGTGTTTGACGGTTGCCACTCGCATATGTTATGAGATGATCATCTTTCTCGATGTAGTATGTGTTCGCCAAGACCAAGTCATGAGCTGAGGCGAATTCCAGAATGCGCTCACTTTCTTCATTGCATGTTTCATATCTGTGGCCTCCGTGACATTTCCCGGCTTCTCTTCGCCTTTCTCCCACATGTTCGTTAAAGGCACCGTCCACTCAAATTCTCGACTTCGGTGTTTTTGTCGTTACAAGGGCTTCTCATGTCCCTGTTTCCGTGAAGTCGAGAATCAGCGAAATCCCCGAAATTCTCCGTTTCGGAGAACCCGCAGGGCGAGTTCTGCGAAACAGGATTGGTTGGTTGTGCATGAATGGGCGGGACAAACGTCACGCCCACACTCAAAAGAGAGCAGCCAACGTGGAGGCCTCATCCGAAGCAATTTCCGAAGCAATTTTCTCACTTTGGAACAACTTTTGGCAGCGCGAGTTGGGCAAATATACAGTGGGGGCTTCGCTACTGTCAGGCACCAAAATCTCATAGACCCCATTTTGGATGGACGGTGCCTTTAAGGTCCGCTCCTTCCAGTGGAATCGAACTGATGTGGTCATCCAGCTTCTACCAGAACGCGTCTTTTTCATCATCCTTACATCCGATTTGTGGCGCGTAGGCGGTGATTACTCGCAGGACCTGTTTCCCGGTATCTATCTTGATCAGAGGTGCGATAGGGGGAGCCAAGTCTCCCCCTACCTTCACTTTTGAGCTGATACAGAGTGACCACCTTCACTTTTGCGAAAATTTTTTTGTTGAATATAAAAGAAAAATAAGTAAAACAAACGTAAAAGGGACTATTGAAGGCATATACATATGTATTGCAGTTTTAGGAACTCGCCGTCACCCATCGGAAGCGAAGGCCATCACCGCCATGGACGCATCCACTTTTCCGCCTTTCCACGAAATCGGAGAAGATAGCTTCGGGAGGAATTTCGATTTAAAAAGCTATGACCAAACGGTCCTCTTTAGGGCCAACAATTGACCCAACGGCCCTTTTTAGGGCCACAGATACGATGAACACAGCGGCATAAATATTCGAAATAAACGTGTCAATGAAATGGTGTATTTTGAAGTGAAACTCAACGACACTCTACAGATTTTATTGAGCAAATTTACTGCGAAGAAAGTAGGTCGATCCAGGAAGTATTTGCCGAGAACCAGAATTTTGAATGAAAAAATAACCAGAAATCATGCAAAATTGCCACTGTTATAAACCAAGTGGTTGAAGATGTCAGCAACTGCGACTTCATAGGTTTTAAAGGGTAAGTGTTGCTCTAACAGATAGTGAAAGAATCGGGTTGATTTGAGCAGTGGTCGCTGAGAACGGGAATTTTGAAAAATTAGGCGATCTTAGGCTAATTTTTGACTGCTGACATTTGAACTCCTAAAACTCTTGATTGTGAAGATGTGTGATGTTGCGACTTCATAGGTTTTCTAGGGTAAGGTTTGTGCCCTACTAGAACATATCTTACCCGTACCAATTCATCAAAGCACCGCCGAGATCCAGGCTCTTGAAAAAGCAGGTAAAAAACAGCTTTTTGAACTTCAACAGCTCGTAACTTCTCCAGAACTGCATGAATCATGTTGCGACTTCATAGTTTGAATTCTTCTTATCAAGAGCTTTCAGATGATATATAATATGTGGGAGTTTCGCGCCTCTTACGGCATATGCCCGGGGGGGGGGGGGAGACTTTTTAGGCCAAAGTCTCCCCTGGCGGCCTCCAGCCAATACATAAAAATGGGCGAGGGGGAGACATTGGCCTAAAAAGTCTCCCCCCCCCCGGTCATACGTCGAAGAAGGCCCCAAACCCCCATATATCATATATCATCTGAAAGCCCTTGATGAGAGGAATCTAACCTATGAAGTCGCAACATGATTCATGCAGTTCTGGAGAAGTTACGAGCTGTTGAAGTTCAAAAAGCTGTTTTTTACCTGCTTTTTCAAGAGCCTGGATCTCGGCGGTGCTTTGATGAATTGGTACGGGTAAGATATATTCTAGTAGGGCAAACCTCACCCTAGAAAACCTATGAAGTCGCAACATCACACGTCTTCACAATCAAGAGTTTTAGGAGTTCAAATGTCAGCAGTCAAAAATTAGCCTAAAATCGCCTAATTTTTCAAAATTCTCGTTCTCAGCGACCACTGCTCAAATCAACCCGATTCTTTCACTATCTGTTAGAGCAACACTTACCCTTTAAAACCTATGAAGTAGTTGCTGACATCTTCAACCACTTGGTTTAGAACAGTGGCAATTTTGAATGATTTCTGGTTATTTTTTCATTCAAAATTCTGGTTCTCGGCAAATACTTCCTGGATCGACCTACTTTCTTCGCA